TCTCACTCAAGACTCACCACCTGCACCTTTGTGAGCCCTGAGATACCAAAGTGTCATTACAGAGCAGAGGGACACTCTTCCTAGGGACTGCCCGATTCTTAGCTGAAGGCACAGAGTCCCACAGGGTGGGAATTTAGTCTTCAGACTTGTGGTGATGGTGCTCTGATGGGGATCCTCGTAACATTTCACAAAGGAGTGGACTGTCTATTTACTCCCAGTATAAGAGAAGTTGGCTTCATTGCTGTTATTTAAATTCCAACTTCCCAAAGGAGCCTTGGTGGGGCAATGGGGTAAGCACTGGGCTGCTAACCAAAAGATTGGTGCTTCAACCCCGCCAGTTGCTCCATAGGAGAAATATGAGGCTGTCTGCTACTGTGACGATATGGCAGGGAGGAAATAGGGAATGAATAACATTGAGTACAAGAAAATATTCTAAAATTATTGTGGTGATGATCATATGACTCTTCTTAATATGATTGTATGATTTGTGAATTATAAGCCAATAAAACTGGTAGAGAAAAAGATCTGTAGTCTTAGAGCACTTCTCTGTCATACAGGGTGAAGACTGACTGGATGGTAATGGGCTTGGTTAGGGTTTCGCTCAAGTTCCCTTGTTTAAACTCCCACCTCCTAGCTTGAAACATTCTTTTTTCTTCCACTCCATTTATATGTTTAACTCTTACTTGGCCTTTGGGACCCTGCTTAGACCACGTTATGACCTCCAACACTAGACAGACAGTCTACATTTGATATGCACAGCCCTGGGCATGCTCTGGTTCAGCACCTCTCATCTGGAATGACAACTGCCTGTTTGCTTAAAGACATTCCTGTCTGACCTTTGTGAAGTGTTTCCTCTGTGCCTCTATAAACTGCTTTGTAAGCCCACATGGAAGAAGCACAACAGCATGTGTGACCACGAGCTGTCGAAGGGATCAGGTATCAGCATCCAAGAACAAAAAATCATATCATTGTAAAGGTGGGTGAGTGCAGTGTGAAGACCCATCGATGGGCAACTGAACACCCCCTTACTGAGGGGTTGTGGGGAGGAGACGACCCAATCAGGGTGCAGGGGAGCAACGATGAAACATATAACTTTCCTCTAGTTCTTTAATGTTTCTCCACCCCCCACCCCCCACTATCAGGATCCCAATTCTACCTTACAAATCTGGCTGGACCGGAGGATGTACATTGGTACAGATAGCAACTGGAAACACAGGGAATCTAGGACAGATGACTCCTTCAGGACCAGTGGTGAGAGGGGTGATGCCTGGAGGGTGAAGGGAATGTGGGGTAGAAAGGGGGAACCAATTACAAGAATCTAAGTATTGCCTCCTCCCTGGGGGATGGACAGCAGAGAAGAGGGCAAAGGGAAACATTGGACAGGGTAACTTATGACAAAACTATAATAATTTATGATCTATGAAGGGTTCATGGGGCAGGGGGGAGTGGGGAGGGAGGAGGAAAATGAGCAACTAATTTAGGGGCTAGAGTGGGAGGCAAATGTTTTGAGAATGATGAGGGCAACAAATGTGCATATATGCTTGACACAATGGATGTATGTATGGATTGTGATGAGAATTGTACGATCAAACAGGAAAATAATTAAAAAAACCCAAAACTGCTTTGTAGTATCACCTGACTTAGTCCTCACTCTATTACAATGAGGCTGACACCATATCAGTCCTATTGAAGTGAATGGGGCTCAGAGAGGTTAAGTCATTTGCCGCATGCCACGTGGCTGGAGGGGGTATCATGCCACGGGGCTGGAGGGGGTAAGGGTTGTTAGGAACTTCCTCCGTGTTAAGGCAGAGCCTGCGTTTCTAGCCATTACACCATGCGGCCTCCCAGCAATCTGAAGGCAGCTTGACGAAGTCAAGGGTGGTTTCTGAGTTATACTGCACAGTCCGAGATGGACTTAAAAATCGGATCGATTGGGCCTAAACCCTGGCTCTGCCACTGTTTGTGGTGAAGCTTTTCAGCCTGCGTTTTCTTGTTACTATAATGAGGACAGTGATAAGGGGGCTTGGAAAGTTCATGGAATAATCCATTATTGTTTAACCCCATCTCCATGAACTTTTGGAAGTCCCCTCATACATGCTTTGTAAAATTAAAATTGAACTCTCACTGCCATCGAGTCAACTGGTGTGGATTCAATATCACCCTGATTGTAGTGCCTCCCAAAACGCAGTGCCATCAAGTCCATGCTGACTCAGAGTTACCCTGTAGGATGGAGCAGAACCGCCCCTATGAACTCGTTATGGGAGTAGAAAGCCCACTCTTTCCCCCACAGGGTTGCTGGTGGTTTCAAACTGCTGACCTTGTGGTTAGCAGTCCAATGCACAACCACTATGCCAAATGCTCAATACATGTTGACTAAACACAGAAAATGACACACTGCTCCTCTCAAGCTCTCCTAAGACTAGAGAGATGAGTTTGGTTTGGGAAAGAAGGAGTCTGATGCTGGGCATGGGGGACTGGACTGAGTGGAGTCAGGTAGCAAGCGGTTGGTCTTTTCTAAAAGAAGCTCCCTTAGAGACAATCAACCAGGGAAAGGCAATTTCCCTTGATTAGGAAGACATGAACCATGTCTCCATTGTACCCAATTGTCCTGCTAATCAACCCCAAGAATGAAAAAAATCCCAAATCCTTTAGTACTGAGACATAGATTAAATATTTGGTTGGCTGGTATTGCCCCATATCTGCTATTCTAGGTAGAGTGAGATTGCTAAACTCATCAAGATTTCTCTTTTGGAACAAGAGGAAGTGTAGGTATGTATATTTTGACAAATGACATCATGATTTTTCCTTGTGATTTGATCTCATTTTCCCATATGGAGTTTCCCATTTAGCTCAATGAGTCATGGAGACGGGCATGCTGAGTGTGTGATCGAGACGTGGGTCAAGGTGACAAAGCAGCAGCAGAACAACACACTTCCCTGTTGGCTCTACCAGCTACAACGTTGTGATGCATATGCAGTATAGCTTGGCAGGATTATGGTTTTATTTTTGTTCTATCTGAGTCTGGAAACGTCTGGGCAATTTGTTTCAGATCTGTGTGGGTCAGTATGTAAAAGATATATGCTATTAATCCCAGGATCCTCCAGAACTTCCCAGGAGAAGGTGATTTTACTTTATAGACCAACTTTTATTTTTTAATGGCCTTAGCAGCAAGTGCACCTATGCATTAAAGGGCCCACATTGATGAGTATGCAATAAATGTTAAATGACAACAATTAAGTTTAATGAGAATTGATGGGTTTTCTTACAGCATGGCCCCAGGACACTTTCTCCCCTTTGATGACTATACTCTGCCTGGCTGGCTCTGTCTACTTCAGTGCCATCTTAGTGGGTTCATTTCGTTTTGCCCACTTCTCCATTGTGTGCTCTATGTCCTTCCTTCCCCAATAAGAATCACCTTTCCTCTCCAACATTCTTTGCCCACTCTCTTTTCTAGCAGCTTCCCTCTAGAAGGTACCCTCATCCCTGCCTTGGGCCACTGTGTTCTTACTGACATTGCTACCGTATCCTGCAAGCTGGTGAAACAATGAATCTTCCCCCAAAGAGAAGAAAGACTGAGTTCTTATCTCCCCTAAACAGTTACAGTCTTGGAAACCCACAGGGGGTTGCTGTGAGTCAGCATTGACTCAATGGCAGTGAGTTACAGAGAAGAAAAAGAAACCAGAGAAACGAGAACAATACCAATGATATATGTCTAAAATTATATGCCACACAAGCTTGTTCTCCAGCATGCTGTGTGTTTTCTTGGGGAATTCAGACTACAAAATCAGGACAAGTTCATTGTCTATCCCACCATACAGAAAGAGTTATCGTGGTTCAGTGGATAAGGGGTTCTCTGCTACCTGAAAGGTTTATAGCTTGAAGCATCAGCAACTCCGTGGGAGAAAGAGGTGGCAGCCTACTTCTAAAGATTAACGGCCTACAGGACAGTTTTCCTGTCTTATGGGGTTGCTATGAGTTGGAATGACTCAATGGCAGTGCGTTTGGTTTGGGTTAGTAGCCTTATCCATCGTGTCGGATTATATGCTGATTGAGAGATGAAAGGATGGTACTCTCTTGATATTGGGTAGTCAGCTTTTTCTCTGACCTTGCTGGGCACACACACAGGAATCTGGCTTCTCTTTGGTTTAAGAGGGTGTGTAGGGGTCACTCTGGGTCAGAAATGACCCAATGGCAGTGGGTTTAGTTTGGCTTGAATTTTTAGAATGTTCAAAGTATCCATTTCACATGCACCACCCCCATACAACCAAACCAAACCAAACCAAACCAAACCAAACCAAACCAAACCAAACCAAACCAAACCAAACCAAACTCTCCCAAACAAAATCCAGTGCCATCAAGTCGATTCTGACTAGCAGTGATTCTGTAAATTAGGGTAGAACTGTCCCACATGGAAGCAGATTGCCACATCTTTGTGCTGTGGAGCAGTTGATGGATTTGAACCGTCAGCCTTTGTTATCTGCCAAGCATTCTAACCATGGTGTCACCAGGGTTCCTTGACACCCCTTCACCACTCACCCTGGCACAACAAAGGTTCTCCCTTTGTAGGTGGTGTTATGAATGGGGGAAAAACCATGGTGGCTACTAGCGCCGTGTATTCAGTCCCAAGAAAATGACAGAAGCTGTCTTAATGCTTGTGGGGACTATGGTGATGAGGTCAACAAAGCAATGCCAATGTTCCAACCATGTAACACCCATGGCAACTTTTAGGACACAGACATTCTACCTAGAATTCCGGAATTAAGAAGTCACACAGCCCATCCTGGGAAACCGGTGGGCAGGACACTGTCTCGCTCCTGGATCTGAGTCGGGGGCACTGCTATGTGGCATCATTATGTCTGGAAGGCCTGTTCAGGCTCGGATACCAGCTCCCACTTCTTTTGGAGGGGCGCAGGGACAGGCAGAACAAGGTCCCATGCTCAAGACCCCAAAGAAAAGCCGAGCACCCACAGTGGAGGCAGACTGTCTTTAAAAGCAATCACCTCTTTCAGGTCTAGGAATAGCCACCGGAGCTTCATTTGCTGGGAAACGCGGTCTGCGTGGTGGAGGCGGCAGGCACTGGCGTCATGACTTTGCCCAAAGCTGACTTTCTCCGGATGTCTGTCTGCTGTCCGGACTGGCAACCGCTTCGGTGGGCGAATAGGATGGTCATCTCTGGGCCGAAGAAGGTTGCTTCTGGCTGGGACCCTTTGGGGGTGGCTGGCTGGTCAGGCTTTCCATAGGTAGGATGGGAGGTGTGATGTTTGGTGGGAGGAGGGCTATAATTCTGAAATCTCACGGTTTTCACTTGCTGTAAGAGAAAAGCAAAGGGGCGGATGAAGTAGGAGATGTGAGCTGTGAGAACTTCCGTCTGAGACTTGGTTCCTGCTGACTTTCCACTCGTGCCCTGAAATGAAATTCGTTTGTATTATTTCAAGAAATAGTTAAATGCTCAAAAGAGTGGCTTCTATGCATCCCACAGTAAGTAGGGTGCTGTGGATCCAAGAGTAAATAAAGCTGTCCTGACAGACACTTCTAGCAAGTGCTATAATGGAGAATGTATAACATGTATGAAGTCAGCTCAAGTTGGACTGTAGGGCAGTCAGAGAAAGCCTCCCAGAGGTAGAGCTGTTTAAATGGCCATGATTATTAAACTGAAAAAGGATTAGGAATTATCTAGGATAAGTGGGGTAGGCAACCACGTGTGGCAGGGGCTCGAGGTGAGCAGATATTATCCCTTCCAGAAACTAATAGAAATTCACTTCTCCTCTATCCTCCATGCAGACCGTCAAGGGCCTGTTTGTCTTGAGGCCTTCTCTAATGACTTCCCTGAGAACTTTCCACCGTGGCCTTCTAAGCCCTCAGAAGCAGAGTCTGCAAACTGTGCACCTGCTGACTGAATTTAGCCTGGAGAGTGTTGAAGAGTGTTTCATAAAAATTGAATTAAAAATCAGGATTTAATATACCTCTTTAATAAAATGAAAGCTCCGGCAGTCCTGGGCTATGCCCCATGATGTCAACCATGGGCTGAATCTGAGAGCATTTCTCCTTTCTGTGAGAGGCATGGTGTCCCGTTTGTTCTAAGCTTCCACCTCTTCCTCCTCTTCTCCCAGCCTGTGATTTATCTGCCTGGCACTTCCCATTATGTCCTCTGGTTCGCAGGGCTTAATACAGTGTATCGCCATACTGCTTCAGATGCCTCCTGCCCCATAGAATGGAACCCTCGTGTACCTCTTTGGACATTTAAGTTGATACATAGCTAACACATGTGGGACCCTTTCAGAGTGGCTGGTCCCTTACATATATACTTAAGTTATATATGTGTAAATGTAATATATATGTAAGTTATACACATATATGCAAGTTATATATGTGTAAACTTAAATGTTACTGTGGTGAAACATGTAACAAAGTATCTCCATTGCCTGTCAGCCCTCGGGCAGAGGTCTGGACATTCACAAAGCACTTATAGTTTAAGGGCTCTCTCTAGTAATATAAGATAATGGAGACTTGACATTGACAGTTGAGGCTTGGAAAACAGAATTATTTGAATACTATACTTCAGAATAAGAATTCCCACCATTCACATGACTCAACACTTTCCTCCCCTCACCACCCAGATGCCTTTCCCTACACGCTTACAACAGCATGAAGAGCGTACATGTTTGCGTCAGATCTGAATTCGACCTCATTCATGTATGTTTATCTGAGTGGCCGTGGGTAACGGACTTAAGCACTCTATGCCTCCATGTCCTCTCAGAAAAGGAGGGTGCGAATCCTGACATCTGCTTCAAGGGCTGTTTTCGGGAAGAAATGCGAGGGGCCATGGGTAGTGCTCAGCACGCTGCCTGCAGGTCCTCCCTAGCCAGTAAACATCGAACCAACAGGAAGAAAGCATATTCTCTGTCCACTGTGGGCGAGTAGGTGGCGGTGGTGTGCCAGGAGGAGGTAACGGTGGAGCGGGGGTCATGGTGGTGATGTTCAATGACCTGAAGAAAAGGATGAGCCCCACCTAGTTTGTTAATGCCCCTTCACAGCATTTCTCTTGCTTCAAGCACATCATGGAGAACATAAGTTTGCTTATTTTTACAAAATAACGTGCCTTCTGGTCCAAAAGAACTCCTGGACTAGAAGAATTCAAGAAGGCCATGGCTCTGAAATCTACCATAACCTCAGCACCGCTCCTTAGAGCCATTTCACTTAGTGTTACAGCTTTGATAAGTTCCTGAAATCCCCCCGTGTCTCAGTTGTGTGTGTGTGTGTGTGTGTGTGTGTTCAATACACTGGGTGTGTGAAGCCCCGTGTGAGCACTTTACACAGTTGATCTCATTAACTCTCCAATTGCAAGTACTATATGCCTATGAGGTATTAAATAACCTTATGCCCATTTTTAGAAGAAAAAAAAAAGCTATGAAAAGATGAAATGTTTGGGGCAAAGCCGACCAGCTAGCAAGCAGCAGAGTTGAAATTCATACCATGGCACGTGTGACGCCCAATGCATGTTCTTAAACCACCTCTGGGTCTGGAGAGAAATGTGCATTTTATCTATCAAATGCACCCAGTAACCCCCGAGGGAGGGTGCGTGTGGTGTGAGGATTCGCGCTGCCACAGGGCTGCACGTTTGGGTTCTGTGCCACGAACACCGTGGGGAACCGCCCAAATACACCGTCGAGGGTCTGAAAAATCAGCGTCCCTAATGTCACCGCACTCCTACCTTTTCTGAGCCATTTCTGGAGTTTTCTGGCTTCACGAGGATTGAAGGTGGCGCCGACGCGGGTGGTTTGGGTGGGGGCTCGCTCTTGACCCGGGCCTCCTTGCCTTCCATGATCAGGGAGCTGGCGGCCGAGTGGGCCCTGGTGTCGTTGCCCCTGCTCATGCACACGGGGGCAGGCTCCCCGGTGGGCGCAGCCGTGGGCCCCAGCTCCACCACCATGGCAGAGGGTGCGGACGGGACCCCTGGCGGCTGGTAGAACTGGAACTGCTGCGGCCGCACGACCATGGTAGGGCTGCGTCGGAGGGAGCCCACCACCAGTGTGGGGATGCCCGACTGACTGGACCTCTGCAGGGAGCCATCTGAGGGAGGGAGGAGAGGAGCTATCAGTCACCCGCTGTGCGGCCCGATAGCCCGGAATAGTTCAAGTGCTGTCTCAATATGACCGCCTCACATTCTCTCGGGTCTTTCCGAGGTGACCTGAGCTGTTTTTAGTGCTGTTTGCTGATGCTGGCAGCAAACGACTGGCAAGCTGAGTGCTGGGGATGTGGTGGGTGTCAGAAGGTAAGCAGAACGTAAATGACTTCCATTTCCTGCTCTCTTTCTCTCTCTCTCTCTCACACACACACACACACACACACACAC